GCTGATAATTCTTGTACTGCTGTCTCTTTACCGGATCCAGCGCGTTGATCTGTTCCTTTGTCAGAGCTTGAAACCCTTGGGGCTTGTTGCCGTTCACTTGTTGCTGAGCTTGTTTGTTCTGGTTTGGAATTTCCACCACATCGTCATCACTAGGCCGTTTGAGATTTCTGTTTTCAGGCAGCGCTGGGGTCTGTGTTAGGCGAGGTTGTCCTGGCGCTGAGGCGGAAGGAGGCCGAATTTGCTGTTGAGCCTGCGCAGGGGATTGATTTGGGATAGGTGCTTGGACACCAAACTGCTGTCCCGCAGGGTTTACCTGACCTGTTTGCGGTGGCATTGGGGGAACTTGCTGCTGCATCCCTTGTTGGTTAGCTTGCTGCTGCATATTCTTTGCCTGTACCTGACGATGTCGGTTGATGAGGATGGCTCTAATCTGTTCGTCCGGTAAGTTCGCCACGCGAGGATTGGCTGCCCGGACCTTCTGAATATCGAAGGCTGTGGGGGTTCGGAATGGCATCGGTCCAGGAGGGACACCAGGAGGTACAACAGGAGTTTGGCTCGGAGCAGGTTGCATTGGAGGTTGGGGCATGGGCTGAGGTGCTTGTCCTGGAGCCTGACCTGCCATGGCATTTTGCTGTTGATGTTGCTGCTGCTGCTGCTGTTGTTGTTGTTGCTGCTGCTGCTGCTGCAGATTTTGGCCGCGGTTTTTCATGATATGTGCGAAATGTATTGCTTGGATGTCCAATACATGAGGAATGTGCCAGTTCGCAACTGGGTTAGAAAGCAGCCATTGTTTGAGTTGGTACCAGGTCCGTATTTCGGGCAACGCAGCATGCTGTCTTATACTGCTCAAGACCGTAGGCGGCACCGGTTGCTGATCCATCAGCTTCATTTGTGGAGCCGTTAACTGTTGACGAGGGCCTTGTGTTTGTCCCTGGGCATTTTGGGGTCCCTGCGTCGGTTGCTGTTGTTGTTGTTGTTGTTGTTGCTGCTGCTGCTGCTGCTGTTGCTGTTGTTGTTGCTGCTGCTGCTGCTGTTTTTGCTGCTGCTGCATCTGCATCTGGCGTTGCCTCATCATCTCCTGCTGATTCTGTTGCATTTGTCCCTGGTTGCCAGGTTGCATTCCAGTCATCTCTTGACCCTGTTGAGAAACGGCTCCAGCGGACAGCGACTGTTGCATGGGCATTGCACCCATGTTCGCGCCGCCAACGAACGCATTATTCTGCATTTGAGCCATTGGAGCTTGTTGCTGTTGCTGTGGTTGGATCCCCTGTGGCTGTTGTGATATACTCCTTTTCATTTGACCACTCTGCTGGAATTGTTGGAGTATATTGCGCCATTCAGACTGTGGCTTTTGACGCAATATCGTTTGCAGAGGTACAGGAAAGCTAGCCAGGGCTTGCTCGCGCTTTTGCATCTCTTGCATACTCAGCTGTTGCTGCTGTTGCGGTTGTTGCTGGCCTTGTTGTACAACGTTATTCATTTGCTGCATCTGCTGATTCATCATAGGAGTCCCTGAGCCAGGCCGAGGGATCGTTTGCGGGCTAGCTCCCGAGACATTAGGTCCAACAGGCCGGTTAATGGCAGATAGGGGTGTGTTGGACTGAGGCATTGCTTGCATGTCCCGGCGCTGACCGGCCATTTGAGCCTGGACAACTGCGGCTTGAGCACGAGCCTGAGCTTGAGCTTGGTTCTGTGCTTGAAGTTGAGCCTGTTGCAATTTGGTAGCCTGTGCTTGTTGGAGGCGCTGTTGCTGTGCAATGAAGGCTGGGTTCAAGTTGCCGGCCTGGTTTTGTTGCCCCATACGCTGGTTAGCCATCATCTGCTGCTGAAGACGTAGCTGGTCCGGCATCATGCCTGGCGTACTGCTCGCGGGAACTACCAATTCACCACCTTCCTGGGATCTCAATCCTTCAGCTTGCTGACCTTGGAAACGGCCCATGTCACCCATGAGCGGATTCCCATTCGTGGTGATTATTGTCTGTCCCATCGAGTTCGGAGTTGACTGGTTTTGCATCTGTCCCATCATGTTTGCAGTATTATTCATCTGGCCAGCATTCCCGGTGCCACCCATCCCTGCTTCCATTTGTTTTCGTCGCCGGAACTCTTTGGTCGCGAGCATGCGAAAATAGTAAATAATGGGGTCGACAGCCTTCTGAGCCAAGTTCTGCCTTAGTTGCGGGTTCATCTTCTCGACAATGTTGCGCATCTCCTCTTTGGGGGTGCTTTTTGCCAGCTCGGCCGCTCTCAGGTTTATGGCCTTGTTGTCTTCGGGCGTCAACTCGGGCAGCTGAGTCTGCTTTTGTTGAACATTGCCGGGCATCATGGCCATCATGGATGGGTTGGGAGCGGACTGACTTGCTTGGTTCATCATAGGTTGGGGCTGATTGAAAACAGGCGAGCTGTGCAACGCCTGCTGCTGCTGTTGCTGGAGTTGCTGCTGCAGGTGTGGCGGCAGAGACATGTTATTTTGCATCTGCTGGTTGGGTGGTATCTGTGGTATGAAGTTTTGGTTAGGCATCTGCATACCCTGCATGCCCTGCATGCCTTGCATGACGCCGGCAGCAGACTGGTTCATCTGCTGGGCTCGCTGGTCGCGGATCCTCCCTAACTTCTCGCTGCACTCTCGAACATAGTCTTCTCTGCTCGCAGATTGGGTGAAACACTTGCGCTCGAACTGGAGAGCGACTTCAATCGCACGAGGCAGCTCAACCGGTGGCCTCACCAGACGAAGAGAGTCGACGAGCAACTTGATCTGGCCGGCTCGTTCGCGGATATGGACGTTGGCTTGCCAGCCAGTGAAAGGTCCCTGGGAGTTCAACATGTCGAAGATGTGTTGTTGAACCGAAGGGTGGTTCAGGCTCATCTGTCCAGCCATCTGCGGTGGCATAGGCCTTCCCATTCCCGCACCCATTTGGCCAGGTCTGGGGTTCATTTGGCCCATCTGTCCCATCTGTCCCATTTGCCCCATTTGCCCCATTTGTCCCATTTGTCCCATTTGTGCCGTCATCTGCCCGCCCATTTGATTTGCCATGGCCATTTGTTGTTGCATGTTGTTGGGTATGCCTCGACCCAAGCCCACCATGTTCTGAAACTGCTGTGGATTCATGGCTGCGGCAGGCGAGCGACGGGACGCTCAGGTTGGGTGATCTCGATCAACGCATTCGGGACGAGGTAGAGAGGGAGAACGGTGAGGAAGGACGGCCCGTTTGGGATCGGGGGTTAACTTGAGTCCTGTAATGGACTGTATAGGAAACAATGGCGGAAGCTGGTAACGGAGGGGAGAGAGAGGAGATCGGTAAGGCAGGATCTGGTCAGGCCTCCGTCACGGGAGGTGGTGACACAGGCCAAAAGGAAATGAGAGCCGAGTCTGGTTCGCGGTGAGGTTGGACGTCTACCGGGGGTGACACGGGGCCGACAAGAAGAAGGCCACACGGGCACACGGGAGGAGGTCACAGAGGTCGAGGAGGCTGTCAATGGTGTCAGGGAGAGAATGTAGCGCAGTTGTCACTCTTGTGCCATGGAGGAAGCGTAGAGAGAAGAGGATGAGTCTGGGGATGTGGGATGTATGCGTTGGTCGGCCAGGAATACGGAACAATCAAGGCTGACACTAGCTTGAGGAAGACCATGCAGCGGTGCCTTATGTGAGGACTTGGAAGGGAGTCGAGCAGTGAGCTGTAATTGGGCGCCAACCGGGCGCGTCGTGGAGGAGCCCAGGCCAACCCACTTTGCGATGAGGCTTGTCGATGGGCTTTTTAGCCTTGTCTACCAGGGAGCCAAAGCGCGGGGGTGGGTGCGAGGCAACCTTTGGGAAAGTCGGGCAATAGATATAAAAGAGTGAAGAATATTTGCCTGCCAGGGAGGTTAGCCCACAGTAGAGCGATTTAGAGAGCCATACGGAGTTATGACGGGGAACATGGGAAGAATGAACCAGGCGGATAGAGAGAGACGAGACGAAAAAGTCGCTGTCGCAGGTGACGAGGATGGAGCCCCAGGATGGATGACTCTTCGCCAAAATTGAACTAGTGCACGACGAGACGAGTGAATTCGCTACAGCGCACCAAGGGTACAGAAAGAAGCACGAGCTGCTATAAACTTGGGTGTTTGTTAGGCGGAGGTGTGATGCCTCCAATGTTATTAGTGGCCCGGAGTCAGCTAGTTGAGCTAGTTCATCTGACCCATGGAACCCATGGGTGCGCCCCCGAGTCCATTATTCAATCAGAGCTCACGACGAGGGGCCCCTGGTAGCCCCAAGAGGGAGACCTACATACTCCCTACATAACAAAAGGGTTCGTAGGGCCATGGCCCTGTCCCTTAGTCTTCTTGACTGGGTGAGATTCAATCTTCAGCATCGATTAAATTACACCGGTAAGCATGCCATTTCCGCCCTTTGGTGAAGCAGGGACACCTGCAAGTATTCGATACTGGTAGACTTTCTGACCTGAGCTGACACGTTGGATTCAAAAGTTGCGATCCAGCCGCCTTTCCAAGGGGCGCACCTCAGTTTGTTTGGGGACCCCCCTGCCCTTTGCCACTGCGGCCAAGAACCTTGTGAGTGCCAATCGACGCTCGAAGCTCTGGGGTCTTTACCTAATGTCGCCCTAAACTACATCCGCCATAGCGTTCCCGTGCTGTTCCTCACCCTCCTCCAACTTGGTTGTCTCTTCTGTTCTCAAACTACAGCGTACAACGTCACTCGTCTGATTGCGATCCTCTACCACTTCCGTTTTTCACATCTGTGCATAATCATTCCCCCCTCCCCCCATCCCGAATTCTTCCCACTTATCTCATTTCGCTTGGTCTGAGGCATTTACAGCTCAAGATCTGATTTGCCTCGTTATACCACTCCAGTGACATCCAGGACACAACTGCGCTTCTTGTGGTCGCTGCAACTCGTCCGGACTTGTTCGTACCATCACGATATGAGAGACCGATCAATGGCCGCCATCAGCACACTTTGTCAATAGCAAAAGTAGTTTCCTGCATTTGGAATTGGAAGGAAAATGGCATCCTCGGTGGGATCCGACATCTTTGCATGCCTGGCTCTTTTGACCATCTCAGTCGCCGTCTTGTTCATTCTGCGACACTACCTACCGTTACGAACCACTCCCGCTTTCCTCCTCGTCCCGATTTTCCTGGCCCTAGTCCTACCCGCCAGCGCCCTCATTCTAGTCCCCGTTGATCTCGCATCCAGCGCGCGAGAGAGTGATCATGGCGGGAAAGGAATATGGTTGCCCAAAAGAGCTGTCTTGGTTGCCTGGAGAATCGTCTACTGGTTGACTTTTGTCCTGACATGGGTTGTCTTGCCTCTATTGGGGGAATACATGGATGCTGGATATCGTGATCCCAAGTCCCGGCTGATCTATTCGCTGCGTTCCAATGGCAGATACCAACTGATCGTTCTGGTCTGCGCTATCGCCGGTCTGATATACATGATATTTTCCTATGGCTTCGACTTTACCGCAATCAGAGCCTTGGTCATGGCGCTCGCGTATGTGTGGGGTCTTGCTCTTGCCATATACCTGATGGGCCACGGTCTAGTCTCCATCCCGAGGAGGATGTTCCGAAAGGCGGATATAAGCGGCAGCCTGCGGCGTGTCCAGGGCCAGGCTCCAAGAGTTCACGAGAAGTTGGAGGACGCTATTGTGGCGCTTGATGAGCTGGAAGCTCAAGTGATGCAGCTCAAGCAAAGGAAAACTGGAAGCGCCCGAGATTTCCAGGATTGGATTGATGAGCTGGTCGACATGACCGGCCAGCCTGAGAGTCGAGTCTTTTCCAATGTCACCACCATCGACGCCTCTGCCAAAGTCCCCGCAGTCATCACCGAAAGATACCTGGCTGATTTGACTCGACGATTAGTTCGAGCCAAACACCGCCGAGCTAGGTACGTTCGCGAGTGGGACAACATTGTCCAGACCGCCTCAGATCTGCAAGCCATTCTCGATTCCCAAGGCTCAGGGAAACTCGACTTTGGCCGTGCCACCTCATCCACACTCAAGTGGTCCCCCATGACCGCCTCAATGCGTTATCATGTGCATGTCCACCTTGTTCCCGCCGTCAGGATAGCTTTGGGAGCTGTCCTCTCCCTCGCATCGATCGCTATCATCTGGTCTGAGATCATCAAGTTTCCTGCTCCACACCTATCGGCGGTCAGTCTCACGGTCATTCACCACCCGAGTGACAAGAACTATCAAATAGGCTTTGGCGGCCAAGTCATTGCCTCTATGTGGATCACTTACATGTGCATTTGCGCCCTGAGTAGTATGAACGACGTCCCTACATGGAACCAGCGAGCCCTAGTGAGGAGGAACACGTACGCTGAGTCCGCATGCTGGTATGCGGGGCAGATTGCCAAATTGACCGTGCCGCTGGCATACAATTTCCTCACTTTCTTGCCCAAGGATATTCACCAGAATTCGACCTTCTATGGCTTCCTGGGGAGACTGATCAATTTGACGCCGTTAGGAACTTGGTTCGATTACCTGTTCCCAATGTTCGTCCTGCTTCCAGTGATCATGACACTATTCAATCTATATGGCAAGATCAAGAACGTGCTGGGCTTTGGCATATTAGAAATTGATGAAGACGAGGATGAAAATCCGTCTGGCTTCGGAACCGGAGGTTGGCGTGAAGGACGGGACCTCATCGCACGAGATCTTCAGGGGAACCGACCAACAGCCACGTTGGGTATCACTGATTCACCGCGCACATCTTTGGATAGGCCTCGTGCTGCACCAACGAGGTGGACGCCTCCTGCTGATCGAGCTGGGGCCGACAGCATTCGCGCGACAGCGTCGAGTACGCCGCACAACCCAACATCCAGAGATCGATTCAGAGATCGACCTACTTTGGAACCTGAGCCCGATGAGGAAAACTTCTTCACGCTTTTTGGGAGGAGGGTGAAAAACACGATTGACACGATCGAAACGCCCAAATGGATGCAACCTCCGACGAGTCGGAGTGGAGGTGGTACCGGCTTCAAGCGGCCACGATGGTTAGGAGGGACAGGGGACGAGAACGCTGGCAACAGCGGGACCAACAGTGGTGGTGGTGATTCCAATATCCTGGGGTTGTTTGGTGGCAGGACAACCCAAGACGGCAGGATCATGATATGACTATAATGCAAACGAAATCAGACACTGGATGACGTGTTTAATTAGCTGGCACTGAACCACATTCGATACCTACCCACTTACAGTAGGTTAGATATATAGTAAATACCTCCACACACACACACACATTGTGTATGAATATGAATATATTAATCCCAGCCATTCAGGACCCATCTCTATCCCTACATTCCTTGACGTCTGCATGTGTATGTATGTATGCATGTATGTAACATACCTCGTAGCCTTGCGCGTGCATATGTATTAGCCCGCCACGTGTCCTGGTCACGTGAACATGGGCTTCTGCTATGGTATGATTTACCCCGTACATAGTGTTAAGTGACTTGCATATGTCAACATCCTCGACACCTTGATTCCTTGATTCCATTCCTGCCTACCCTGCCCTGCCCTGACTGACTGACTGACTGACTGATATTTTGGTTTCACACTGATCGATTGTGCATGTGTTCTCCGGTCATTTTCCGGCTGGATTGCAACCACCAGGCGTAACCACCAGGGATGTGGGAGGTGCTTACTATCATCTTACTCCCGTATAAGACACTGAGAAACTCCTGGATTCTGGCTCGATGCTGACTCGTAATCATCAATTCATTTCATTTTTTGGTGGGTTTCACACAAGACGCCAGTCCGCATATCACACATTATTAGACTGGACTATACGTAAGCTAAGCTTTTGGTTCCATGTATATCCTTCATATCTCCCTCATTCCTCCCATTCCATTCCCCGGTCCAGGTCCAGGCGGTCCCATTGAACCCCCAGGCAGGGGAGGCCCCATGGGAGTGGGATAGGGACCATCACCACCACCACCAATGGCACTAGCAGGCGGGACACGAGCTGGTCCTCTCATAATTCCGCCTCTCATCCCTGGACCTCCGTTACCACCTCGAGTTGGGAGACGCTGAGGCCCCACGGCTCCGGGCAGCTCAAAGTCGGGGTTTCCTGCCAGGAGCATGTCTTGCCTCGTCTGTTGTTCTCGCCTCCTCATAGGACCCAGGGTGCTGAACTCTCCGCCGTTGTTCGGCCGCCAATTGGGGTTGACGCCGCGCTGGCTGACAGAGGTGAAATTACTAGTTTCACTTTCCGCTGGAGATCGCGCCCCGGGCAATTCCTCGTACGAGTTCGTTGGAGGAATGCCGTTGTAGGAGTCGGGTCGGTAATGGCCGGGCGGTCCTGGCGTGAGAAGGGGAGGAGGCCTCCGGTTCCGTTCTCCTGGCTGGGGGTTTTGTGGCGGCACCGGTTCTGGGTCCGAAGCGAACCGTGGATCGACATCTTCGTAGTAGAGATCACTCCCACCAGAGTTGACGCGTTGTCTGTGTGGTGGACTCCTATAGCCACCTACGTGACTGCCGCTTGTAGGGAGCTCGATTGGAGATTGAGCTTGTCTTCCAGGTGACCTCGGATATCCCAAATCCTCGCCCGGCATATTGTTCCAGTTAGCCCGCGCAGGTACATAGCTAATCAGTCAGTGAAAATCTACTTGTCCCATGAGCAGTTGCACTTACGGATCTTGACTCTGTGACCTTTGGGGTTTGAAGTCACGTACGGAGGTGCCAGCCATCTCGACAGGTTGAGTCGTGGGTAACGGGGGCATAGCCGGAGGTGGGGAAGGTTGACGCAGAGCACCCGATGGGGACTGGACACGACCGCCATAGGGTGAGGTCCTGTCCCGCCCTGGTGACTGCGCTCTGGCTCCATATGGACCTGGCATCTCCTCTGCTTGGGTGTAGACAGAGGGACTCCTTATGTCATACCCCCGCTCGTTGTCTTCGATATACTGTTGTGGAGGTGCCATGGGTAGCGGGGGGCCCATCGCCACTGGATATTCGTCCGACGACGTGTATCTCTCTGATACATTGTCAGCTCCATTAGGCGGATAGCCTGGTGGAGGTCGTCGCGGACCACCAGCCATCATGGCGCCAGCAGCCATTATCGGACCACCAGGACCAGTGGGTGGAAATCCACCTCTCCCTCGTCCACCATATCCTCCTCTCATGTCGACCGGAAATCCACCTCTGCCCGGATAGCCTTGTGGCGGAGGTGGTCCCCTTGGGCCGAAGCCACCTGCTCGCGGAGGATAACCACCCCGAGGCGGATAGCCACCCCTGCCACGCTGCGAATGGCTTCGACCGCCCAGCGGTGGCAAACTGCGATCGCGATAAGGACTAGGAGGAGTCGCTTCGTCCCCCGACCTTCTACCTTGTCCCGAACCCATGGCTCCATCTGGACCGGAAGGGATCGGCGGAGGAGGCGGATTCCCAAATTGATCTCGTGGTCCATTTTGAGGTGGCCGACTGCTGGATCGCGAGGGAGGCCCGTAGTATTGATCCGATATCCCGTCTCGGGAGGGTGTCGCCAGACTTGGCTCAGTAGATAGAGCTTGCGTTCGGAGGGGTTGGCGCTCCTCGTCTGATTTTTGACTGACGTCGAAAGTTGCAAAGGCAGGTAGCCTATCTGCACCGGGCGAGCCATTAACCATGGGCATAGTAGGCTCAGTGGTAAATGTTTGCGCAACCGCTTTGGATTCTTGTGCCTGCCGATTGTAATAGTTCTCCCCGCTCATTTCCGCGTTCTCGGCAATTCTCTTCTTACGCGCTTTCCTAGAGACGAGTGTCCGCCTCATAGCGCAGGTGACAACGCCTGAGGCGGCTATGAGGATGGTTGAAGCAAGGACAATCCATCCGGCCCATGATAAGTGCGGCACAAACAGTAAAATGTCGACCAAGAAAGCCAGCAAAGTGACCAGAAGGGTTGGCAGTAGTAGAATCAGGAGGCCTAGAAGATAGCGGGCAGAATGCGAGGGGGAGTGCAGGTGAGCCGCACCAGCCAATGCAAGGCACACCAGGTTACAAAAGGCCGCGACAGGGTGAACGATGAGGAGGGAGGATAGCGAATGTCTCGTCGATGACGAAAGATTGAAGTCGGTGTCTCCATCGGGGAAGAGACCATCTTGGGACAAGAGTTAGTGACACTGATATCTGAGCAACGCGGAATTCGTCATGTGGGATGTTACCAGTTGTATAGCCCACCCTTATGCCACTGCATGTTGTTGGTGTGCAGTACCCGAAAACTCCAAAATTAACTCCTCGATAGGTGGCAATGGGGATGCTGTGGATGACAGGCGTGGAGAGAACCGACAGCAGAAGGAAAACGAAGGATATGAGCAGTAAGACGGTCAGAGGAGTCGCGGGCCTCAGCATGATGCGGAATTGGAATATCAATGGGATGCTGCAGCTATCTCTTGGTCTTTTAGAGATTCCACGGCGCCAAAGCGCAACGACGAGATGGATGAGCGTTGCGCATTAAGAGTGACGGTGATGGATGTCTTGTGGAGTGACTGGAGTAATCGGACGTGAGAGATCAACCCCCCGTACACTAATGGTACAATGTGAAATGGAACAAAAAATAGTTGCAAGGAAATACTATCAGTAGATAGCAGATGGTTCAACGAATGTCCGCGTGGTTGGAGGCAGGTGTAACTGTGGTAAAGAGATGTTGGACAAGGATGCGTTTGAGGCGCAGTCGTCGAAGTCGCATCGCCAACGAGAAAACCGGGCAGATGCAGATGCATGCACGTTCCTTGGAGGAGCTTGGAGTGGGAGAGTGGGTGGGCGGATAGGGTAGGTACGGAGTAGGTACTCGTAGGACCTGTGTGTGAGTTGAGGGCGGGTGGTGGCACTGGTGGGTAACTGGTTAGAGGCTAGTGAGGCGAGACTAAGGGCCACCTTAGCGGTGGAGTGGAGGCCGGAAGAGCACGAGATTGGGCCCTAGGCCTGCATTGCGGGCGGGTTCACCAAGTGATCTTCTCGAACCTGCACCTCATGTCCGTCAATTTTTACCGTCTCAGGCCTGGGCGGCCGGAGTTTTAGGCGTGCCTGAGCCAGTTAAAACACGGGGGATGCCCTCCCGTACAAGCTTGACAGGGCAACGAGACAACCATATCTGGAGATAACAGCCACTCTCACCCACCTTGCTTGTCAACACCAAATTCGGTGAAACACTTCCGTACCAGGGGCTTTAGTACTTAGTACTTGTTCTCAGAGGATGATAATATTTTGGCCCTCCAGCCCTACCGCCCCTCCAGATGACTGCGCCTGCGACTGAAGGAAGGCAACTTATTGAGTACCCGTGCCAGGGACCACTGGTTGCCGGTTGGTGTCTTGTTGCCTTGGACTGCCAAACTCTAGTCCCCAGAACTCGTTCTCAATGTCCTGGGCGACGGTCCAATGGTCACCATGATTATTGCGTATATCACTCCTCATCCTCTGCCATCTTCTGGTTTTCCCCACCCTGACGCAAGCTCATCCGTCGAATTGAATGTCTGCTGTGGGGTATCTTCTGTATCTTTAGGTTCCTGTAGAGTTCCTCGTACGGCCCTGATATCCCATATAGTAGCCTCATCTATGTACTTTTATTTGTATACCTCAATTGTGATGACGGCCCTTGGATCTTGATATAGGATTGTTCGCCTCATCTTGATAGTGCAAGCACGGGCTTTCCCACCCAAGCGAGATGTGCAGGGCCAAGCCCACACGAAGCTCCACCGCTTGGCAAAAAGCTGACAAAGGCACCGTCTTCACCTGCCATGTTCGGACTTCGACCACGCGCTACGAGGGTCACGATACAGGGCTGACAGACCCCAAGAATTCCAAAAGCTTCATCCTCAGCGTGCCTTTCTACCTACACTTGAGCCCCCTTACCATTCAAGATGACTTCCTACCCTTCGTTTCTTCATGCCTCCTTGTGATCCTCAGCAGTCGCTATGGACGAGCGGACTGTCATCGCTCCAGACAGTGAACAGTCATCTTCCTCTCATTTCTGATGCAGTCAACTAGCCCAGTTCCGAAAAGGATCGCCTCAGACGAATCCCCGTCCCCAGTCTCGACAAATCAGCCAAATCCCAGACAGCGCAATCGCATCCACAACCAAGCCATCAAAAGAGCCAAGGCTAATATAGGGAAACCTCGCGACCACATCTTGTCGACGTCTCGTGATGAAAGTCCTGACTCGCAACGCATTCGCGATTCGCTACTTGGGTTGGTCAAAGCTGGCGTCAATCAGGATCTCACCATAACCACCACTGTGGTGTCACCGAGGTTGACTGTGACATCTGGGGGCCTTCGTGGCGATCCGTTCTGTGCTTTCCCAATATCACCGGAAGGAGGTGTCCTTTCCGCTGTCGACTATTGTGAGTTTGGTTGAATAATCCAGTTCGGGACACGGTCGCTGATTCTTGGTTTACGCAAAGTCCTCCAACACTATGCGCCGGTTCACATCAATCCCAGAAAAGAGCAATTAGGTCCAGCAGATAGCTTGCCGCTATCGCGACGGTATTTTGGTCTGGCCTTGGAGAATGCGTCCATGTTTGAACTCATGGTGGCGCTCGCTCAAGCCTCGTATGAAGCCCGGCGTGGAAACGTTCGAGAACCAACAAGAGAAGTCTTGATCCACTATGGGAAAGGAATCGAAGCCCTGCGTCTCAAGATGGCACGTAGCCCAACTTGCGACGATGATGCCACGATTTTGGCGATCATGGCCCTGCTGGGAATCGCCGTATGTGAACTCGACTTTGCACTACAAGACAAACTGTGACTGACGTCCGCCAAGTTGATTTACAATGACTTTGTTTCGTTTGAGACCCATTTGATTGGCCTACGCCATCTTGTGGAACTGCGAGGAGGGGTTGATCATCTGGGATGGGACGACTTCCTGAAGAATTCAATCACTGGGTAAGCCCCTGAGAGGACTGAGAGTCTTCGCAGCACCAGCAGTCTCGTGCTTGTTCCTCGACAGAATTGACTAACAGACGCCAGCCTCGAATCTCTCTGGGCGTACCACGAAAATAAGAAGATGAGCATTTCGACCACCGAAGTCAGCATCAAACTACAATATCCGAAACATCCATTTCCTCCTGACCTCTGCACCCTGATCGCCAAGCTTCCCGATGGATTTCGAGAGATTTCCTTGTCCGGGAGTCTCTGCGTTCAGATCATCACAGTGTTGGCACGTGTGACGGAGTGGGTTGCACAGTTGCAAGGCTCGCGGAAGAAGGGAGTCCTCGCCTTGGGAGATCCAAACGGCACGTATATGAAGCAAACGCAGGCGTGTCTCGAATTGGTGCCTCTTCGTGGGTTGAACACACTTGAGAGGGTTCTTTGTTCGGCGCTGGCGGCCGTTACCACGGAGACCTTTCGTCAATCCAGGCAACAGAACCCGGTGCATCGGCGATTGGTCGAATCGCTCTCGGAAATGCTTTCCCGATACAATCTGCACGACTTACCGCTTGAATGTACCATATGGATGGCGTTGGTCATCGCAGGTCCTGCGTATTCGTCTAACGAGCGGCCTACAAGCGAAGCAGTGTCGATGAATCAAGGTCAACCACATGCCCCACGATTTGTCCTCTTGGATAGAATTCTCGAGGATTCATCCAGTGCCAGGAATTGGAAGTGGGTCAAGAAGTCAGTCGTAAAGTTCTTCTGGAGTGAGGACTTATTGGCAGTATGGCGACAGACGTGGGAACTGGCGTTGTTGCGGTACTCCGACAGAGTCAAGGCCAGAAGGACCATACTATCCAACCAGGCATGTTCAGAAGGCTGAAATCAGGGCCCTGTCACCACCGCTATTGGTACCAGTTGACAACTATAGCCAATGGGCGATAAAGATCTACAATTGGGGGGAACGAGTCACGGTTGAAATTAATCGTAACTCTCTCGAAGGTCATTGCGGCTGAGGCAGCGTGGCAGCTTCATGCATGTAGACAACTTTGGAATGCACGGGCCTTTCTTACCTAAGGATGTCGTGGCCAAGGAGCGGACGCGGTGGCCTAATGAGGCTCCCTCAAGCATACCCGCCCACCTTACATCTCTCTGGGGGGAAGTTGGCCGTGAGGGCCTCGAATGAAATGGGCAACGTGCCCAAGCTGAGTGGGAACGGGTTGATGCTTGATTCGCCAAGGCGACCGCCACCAACGCAACTCCTGATGAATTGACGTCATCTCATGCTGCAGTCCTGGTCACCCACTGGTGATCCTGGACCAACTTGGAACCTTCCCCCCCCGGATCATCGGTTGTCGATCGATGCAAGCTCCTCCACCTGCTGCTCAGAACAACCCACCGATCTTTTCCTAGGAAAACACGGTCTAACTCTAGACAAATCCCATGTCTGCTGAACGGGATTTTGCCTTCTCTCCTGTTCACACAATGCTCTTCCCGCCTCAACGTTCGCCGTCTCCGTCCAGTCCTCAGCATACCTTTAGGTAGACTGTAACAGACCGGGAGCACGGTACCACGACACTCCAATCAAAAATGCTTTAACCATTCCTCGACTTGGGCCCTGTCTCATTTCTTTCTTCCTCCAACGTGCCTAGGAATTCTGGCTCCTACAGCCTTTCTCCTGGCTCGATTGACTCAGTATGAACGACCCAGGCCTCGATGAGCCCATAGCCGATGCCTCTGCCATTGTCAAAGAAAATGTCGAAGATCACCCCCCTGCATCTCACCACAATGCCCAAACGTCATCCCCTCACCAGCACCGTAATGCGTCTCCAGAAGAGACTTATGACAAAATGGAGGAGGAGGAGCAAGAACGAAACTTTCTCATGCCAGCAAGGTGGTGGTATGCTTCGACCGGAGTTCCCCTTGTGGCAGGTACTTTCGGACCTATGGCCAATGCATTCAGTATCTGTGCGCTGGTGGAGAATTGGAGGGTTGAGATTCCTCCTGGAGGAACAGAAGAGCATGGGATTGACATCAAAGACCCTGGCTGGTAGGTTATCGCGACACGATACTACCCATCCCAATACCGCGAAGATGTTGCGCAGAATACTACATGGTTCTAAATAATGTCTGATGCAGGCTTATCGCCGTCAATGCCGTCTCCCTAGCGTTCGCCCTTGTCGCCAATATGTCTCTCCTCCTCAACATGGCGCGACGTGTTCCCTTCCGCATCGCCCAGCCCATCACAATAGCCGGCTTCTGGATCGCCTCAGTGCTTCTGATCAGTCTGATTGCCGTCGCATCCTCTGATTTTGACGTACCCGGCGTCCGGCATCAGGCCCTCTCCCAGGCATACTACTACGCCATCTTTGCTGCGTGTTTGTACCAGATAATTTCATACTTGATGTGTTTCACGGTGTACGGGGCGTACAAAGGGCATTTTAGTAAAGAGTTTAAGCTCACTGTGGCGCAAAGGACTTTGATGTTGCAGACCATTATGTTCTTGTTGTATCAGTTGTTAGGGGCACTGGTGTACTCACACATCGAGGGATGGAAGTTTTTGGATGCGGTATATTGGGCGGAATTCACTTCTCTGACAATTGGCATTGGCGATGATTATACACCAAAGACCCATCTAGGTAGAGGACTGCTATTTCCTTTTGCTATGGGCGGCATTATCATCTTAGGCTTGGTCGTCGGTTCCATTCGTTCACTAATTCTGGAAAGGGGAAAAAAGAAGATGGCAGCCCGATTGACGGAGAAGACCCGAAGACGATTGCTCAAGGAGATTGAGAGAATCAGTAAGAGGAAGAGCCGTTTGAAGCACAAGGGTGCCCTGGGGCTTGGGAAACACACCACGAAAGCACTGACGGTGGAGCCAGGAGATGGTGAGGTCGCGGAGCTCGAGAGGAGACAGGCTGAGTTTGAGGCAATGAGGAAAGTTCAAGATTGGGCTGCCACAGAGCGCAAGTACATGAGTTTGCTTGTTTCAACGTTTGCTTTTGCTTTCTTGGTACGGTATGACTTTCATCCCCTGCTGGATCCCGCTGACGATCGATAGTGGACGATAGGGGCGTTGGTCTTCGAACGTGCCGAGAGGAACCAGGATTGGTCGTATTTCGGATCACTTTACTTTTCATATACAACGTTGTTGACCATCGGATATGGGGATTTCCAGCCCATGTCCAACAGCGGTAAGCCCTTTTTTGTCTTCTGGACTCTGCTCGCAGTCCCTACCTTGACCATTCTCATCTCCGACATGGGAGATACTGTGGTCAAGGCCGTCAAGGATGTCACCATCTGGCTGGGAGAGATCACCGTGCTTCCCAGCAGTGAAGACACCATAGCAAATCGACTCAAGCATGGAGTGTACAAGGTCACTCTTGGCCAACTGGATCCTCGATCATCTGATTCTCGTGATGTGGAAAGGGGTTCAGAAACGGGCAGCGAATCTGGGTATCAGGAACTGCATCCTGGCCTTGTACGCCTGTTCCGCAACGGTATGAAGAAACACAAAGCGGGTGGAAAAGACAAAGACACCAAAGATCGCTTGGCGGCCGACTTCGAGGAGGAGGAGAAGCAGGATGAATCCGATGCCAGACACAAGGGCGATCGGTGGCAAGAAGGTAAAGCTGACCGCATCCCAGTAACATGGTCTAAGTGGCTCACCTTGGTTTGAACAGATGCTCATCACCATCGCCATGTTCTGTTGTCTCAAATACGAAGGGTCTACGCAGATGCTTCTGCGGCAACACCAAAGAAGTACAGTTATGAGGAATGGCAATACTTTCTCAAATTACTTGGAGAGGATGAAGCAGATGCGTCATACCACCGGCGAGCTCCCATACATGGGGATGAGGACAGGGAAGCCAGAGAGGCTACTAAGAAGAACAACGAGGGCGGCAATCTCTACATTGGGAGGCATGGAGCAGGGTCTGACGGGCCAAAGGAAGGCAGAGACGTCCAAGCCCCCAAATGGAGCTGGATAGGAGCACAGAGTCCATTGATGGGTGACAAAGAAGAAGCTGAATGGTTGCTAGAACGGCTCTTCCAGCGGCTGGAGGAAAGTCTTCATTCCGACAGGCCGCAAGCAGAGCATGGGAAACATTATCCCAGGGATCTCCAAGAACAGAAACAACGAGAGGAAGATGGTATGGGCAGTGGGAGATGTGTGTCTTAGGGTCGAGACCCCAGCGTTCCAGATCATTCCTGAATGACTGACGAGGCTCGCGTGCAAGAGAAACCTCGTTAAACATTAATTTGGCCGAGTCCAACCAAAGGGTCTTGATAGTGTCGATCTCAGATAGTGGCTCCCAACTCTTCTCATCCATCTGATGAATTCCGTTTCTCCGAGACAAGCATGTCGCTGATATGGAGGGCCGGAGATTTGTCAACCCAGATCGACCTCGGCATCTGAAGCTACGGAAATGCTTGTGGGATTCTCCGAGGGTTCGCGGGGGAAATATGAGGTCGAGAGGATCGATGTTGTGTGGAGTTCTCGTCCAGGGGTTACGAGTGGATGGTGAAGTGCGACGAGCATGAGAAGCAATGTAGCGTGAGCGTCGTGCTAGGTCGAGGGACCGGGGCTATTGATTCCATTGATGCGAAACCGAGAGCTGTTCACGCGTCCATATGTAGGTAAGGACACAAAAACCAGTGAGGTAGAGATGGAGTACGTAGTCAGTACGAGGAACATGAAATGGTAATGTACGCAGCTGAGGGTGATGGGAGTGTCTCAACTCAACACACCACCAACCACTTGTCAACATCACCATCAACATACCATCATCATTCCTGGAGTTCATCGTCGCTCCTAGACTCACACAACCGGAATACTGCTCGTTACACCCTGATAAACAAGGTGGCCACGTCATGATTACCCCGTAACTTGAGGGGTTAGCTCTCTCGCAGCCACTGCTTTGACCTCTTGGTCGCATCTAGCTCGTCTATCTCCGACCAGGGGAAACCTGGAACCGCCAACGCCACACAGGATTTTCCGCCGGTACAACTCAAATGGCACCAATGCAAGTCGCAGCAGATAGATCTAGACCTTGCTGAAGCTTAGGATCCCTTTTATCTTGGTTAATCGTCTGTCCTCAATCTCTACCCAAACCTCGTCTCAGGAATTGACCATGGTGTCCACACCACCTCTATCACCGCTCACGAAACTCCCCCCTTCACCCCACACTCGCGAGACTCACTGCAGTACCAGAATGGAACATTTCCGCCATTGCACCACACTTCTAAACGATTTGACTGGGTACAGCAGCCGGCCGAAAGTTCTCCTGCTCCACGCAGATCAGTGCGCATTGGAGGGCCTTCTATCCGAACAACGGCCTATCATCAGTCAACGGAGATTCCAAAAGCTGCTGGAGCACTGGAGCTTCCCTCGCTCTTTCTAATCCATTCTCACATCCGCCACTCCTTTGGCCCGCCTGCAACCCCTCACCTTCGGACGTCCAACTGGGGACCGGATCCGGGAAGCTGATCAACACACATCATGTCTCTCTGGGGTCAAATGGGGGTGGCAAGGAGACGCGGGCGTGCGCGGGGTAGGTCAACAAGAGATACAAAAGGCCCACGGCCACCACAGGCAGCAAATGCGTGCCGCCATCCCTCTACATCTCTTTGTCCTGACGTAAACTGCCTTCTTCCACCCAGTGCACACGGCCGTTAAAAATCCCCGCGACAGTTATGGGCTCTCATCAGATTGAGGAGGTCGATGTCCTGCTCGTTGGAGCTGGCTTTGCTTCTTTCACGCTGTTGAATCGGTAAGTGCTACATCTGGTCCTGCGTGTAAGCACAGGGCTGACTGTCGTGGCTCAGTCTGCGAAAGCTCGGTTACAACGTTCGTATCTTCGAAAAGGGGTCTGCCAGTGGTGGTATATGGTATTGGAACTGCTATCCTGGTGCTCGTGTGGACACCGACACCCCCATTTACCAGCTATTTGACAAGGAGCTATGGGAAGATTTCACCTTCAAGGAGCGATACCCAGGCTGGCAGGAGCTTCGCCGCTATTTCGAACATGTCGAGAAGAAGTGGAATATCCGCGACTACACCTCGTTCAATAAGCACGTAGACGGCGCCGTCTTTGATGAAAGTCGTCAACAGTGGTTGATCGAATGTTCGGACGGAACCGAGATCTACGCCAGGTGGTTCATTCCCTGCATCGGATTTGCCAGCAAACGATATACACCTCCATTTCCCGGACTCGGCAACTTCAAGGGCGACATCTACCATACAGCCGTATGGCCCCAGCACGGTGTTAATCTAAAGGGCAAGCGAGTCGCCGAAGTTGGCACTGGTGCCTCTGGAATTCAGGTCATCCAGGAAATTGGTCCAGTCGTGAAAGAGTTGACCGTTTATCAAAGAACCCCCAACATGTGCCTGCCGATGAACCAACGCCTGCTTGATCCTCAAGAAGAGGAAGAGAAAAAGAAGAACGGCTGGTATGAGGCCGAGATGGCGAAGACGCGCAACACCTTTGCTGGCTTCACCTACGACTTCATGGAGAAAAACACCTTCGATGACACGCCCGAAGAACGTGAGAAGACCTACCACAAGCTCATGGTCGAGGACGGCGGTTTCAAATTCTGGCTTGCCACGTACAAAGACATGCTGTTTGATCTCAAAGCCAATGAACCCGCCTACCACTTCTGGCGCCAACAGGTCTTAAAACGTGTCAAAGACCCCGAGAAACAGAGGCTTGTGGCCCCTGAGGTTCCTCCGCATCCATGGGGGACTAAACGCCCATCCCTCGAACAGAGGTTCTACGAGGTGATTGACCAACCCAATGTTAAGATTATTGACGTCAACGAGAATCCTATCGAAGAAGTTACAGCCACTGGTCTCAGAACCAAACAGGGTCTGGTCGAGGTGGACGTTATAATCCTGGCCACCGGCTTCGACTCGGTCACGGGTTCGCTGGCTCAACTCAACATTCAAGGGACAAAGGGTGGGACGATTGCTGATCACTGGAAAGATGGTACCAAAACAGCCATGGGTATCGCCATGCCTGAATTCCCCAACCTGTTCTTCTTGTACGGTCCACAGGCACCCACGGCTTTCAGCTCAGGCCCGAGTTGTACACAGTTCCAGGCCGAATGGGTCGAGAAGACGTTCAAATTGATCAAGGACAAGGGCATCACCAGGCTTGAAGCCACTCCGGAGTCTGAGGAAGATTGGTGCAAGAGGATGAACGAGAAGTGGGATGCCACGTTATTCCCCATGGCCAAGAGTTGGTACCAGGGCGCCAATATCCCAGGTCGAAAAGTTGAGCCATTGAATTGGTAGGTCGCCCATTTCTTTTTCGTGGGACGAAGAATTCTAACAATCCTACAGGTCCGGCGGAATGGTTGAATACGTCAACACGTTGAACCGTAGTCTTGAGAATGATCTGCAAGGCTGGAGATACACTACTGCCACGGCATGAGTAGGCTCACGAATCGAACAACAACAACTACTACCGAGCCCGTGGCCATGAGCGTTATGGTGTTGTGGAACGATTGTGATGGGAAATGAGATACCCCCTTAGAGTGGGACGGGACGGCTGTGTGTGTGGAAGGCGTCACGACTCGTTGGACAAGACGGTAGCGGGCGTCTGTATAGTCGAGATGGGGGGAATCCAGAAATATGTATACACTGTGGAGTCGCGCACACAGGAAATACTGGACTGGGAGCTGGGGTGTCAAGTATCTACCATTATATGGTCGTGCAAGCCAATATTTTCCGAATCGAACCCTTTCGGCCAGCTGGACTTTTCATTCTTTCTTCCCAATATTCATCAAGTGGTTCAGATTTGTCTTGTACTGTGATTAAAATCTCGCTTCGTTCTTTTTGTTCGCCATGTAAATGCACACGGGCTAAGACGGTTAAAGATGAGGCGCACAGTGATGTAGGAATATATCTCCAGCCTGCCCCTCTCTCTCTCCGATCTCGAGGTTTTGACCACAGCCGCATCCTCTGGAGGTAAACCTTCTCCCCCCTCCCCCCGGGTCTTGTTTTTGGCCGCTAATCGGACATATCCAGCCCAACCAGGGGGACGGACAAATGGCAGCAGCGGACCTACTCTGTTCGAGATGCCGCGGCGTCGACTGGACGGGTGCCGGCCTGCCCCGAGTCTCGCCCGCGACGACCAACGCGTCGCCAGGTCTGGCCTTGTTCAACACCAGCGCCCAGGTGCGAGGCCTGGACGGGATAGTGGCACCCACCGCCGACGCGCGACCCGTGGAGTCGGCCCTGCTCCTCGTGTCCCTCGGAACTGTGGGAGAGCTCCAGCACCGGAGGGCGGGCTGTCGCTGTTGTGCCTTCTGCTTCGAACTCCTGGAGAGGCGGTTCGCGGCCGTCGATATCGACAGGGCCCGTCGCGATCTCGTCCCCGTTCATGTCTACACTCGCAAGTTTGGCGTCGTGGTGGGGGGGGCATGATCATGATCATTACGATGGTGGGAGAGAAGGAGAAGGAAAAGAAAGCAGCAGTAGCAGCAGCAGCAGCAGCTACGGCACGACTCACTTGATGTGCTTCAATCTGTCGTTCCATCCGGATTTCCACCACGGCGAGACCGCGTCCTTTGGCCTGTTGGACACTCGCCCACGGCAGGTATCACCACGCTCGAACACCGCTGTACCATCCTTCGTCGGCCGCTTGGTGTCCCCAAGCTTTGATCCCGAGCACGCCAGGCACTGGCTGGAGACTTGCGAGCGGCAGCACACCTCGACGACGGGGCGGCAGCGCGAAGCCGAGAGTTTCCTCTCGCGCAGCGGCAAGACGACGGAGCTGCGCGTGGTGGAGATTGCTGCGCGACGGATCGTGACGCTCCGCCTCCAAGACATCGAGGGCGGCTACGCCGCGCTGAGCTACGTCTGGGGCGTGGCGGAGCAGGCGGTGCGGCTAACGACGGCGAACTTGGAGGCCTTCTCGAAGCCGGGCGGCGTGCCCAAACTCTCCCAGACGGTCGAGGACGCGATGCAGGTGGCGCGCAGCGTGGGCATACCGTACTTTTGGGCCGACGTCGTCTCCATCCTCCAGGACGACGAGGATGACAAGGCCCAGAATATCGCCGACATGGACGTCATCTACACGTACTCGCGCCTCACTGTCGCCGCCGTGGCGGGCACAAACTGCCACGAGGGCCTCCCGGGAGTCAGCTACGATAGGGCCCCTTTGCTTCACACGACCTTTGCCGCTGCGCAACACCCTGCTGATGGCGGCGGCGGCGGCAGTGGCAGTACCGGCCTGGTCGAGATCCCCCACCAGCCCGAACGTCCCGTCGAGTCGCTCTACGTGAGCCGCGGATGGCCCAGCCGCGCCTGGACGCTCCAGGAGTTCCTGCTGTCGAGGCAGACGCTGCTCTTCTGCGAACAGCAGGTCATCTGGGTGTGTCGGACCGCCGACTGGGCCGAGGGCTTGGATGTGACGGGCGAGAAGTTCCGGTTTGCAAAGTACGACGGGTTGAATAGGCCTCGACTGGAGTCTGCCATTTTCACGGAAGAGCCGAGAAGCGGTAGCAACAGCTACAACGACGACGACGATACCGATGTCGAATTTGCTAGAGCTCAACACCTCAAGCCCGACCCGACCGACCTCGCAGACGCCGCGGCCTTGATCGAGTGCTACACGCGACGACAGCTCTCGTACGAGAGCGACATCAAGAACGCGCTCGAGGGACTAATGTGGTACATTTCGTCCATGTCGACCACGACGGTGTTCCACTGGGGTCTACCAGAACCAAATTTCGAGGGGTTTCTCTGCTGGAGCAGCGTCCGTGGTGGGTCTCGACTGGCCACGAGTAGTCGCGGGGGGACGACAACGACGAGGACACACACGGTCCAGCGCCGCCTCCCCTTCCCCGACGCGCCCTCATGGTCCTGGATGGCGTGGCTCGGCCCAGTCCGGTTCCCGCAGTTTGCGACGCGCTCAGCTCAAGGTAAGGGGTGGCGATCTCTGGTCAAATGCTTCAAGTACCCGACCTACCTGCACCGGCAGGGCCGGGAGTGGAATGACATTCTCAGTGGGTACGATGTCGAGGACACGGTCCTGGCCCGCCCTTTCGACATGTGGCAGCATCAGCACCAGCAACACCAGCAGCAGCAATCAGATGTCCATGACCACCTCCCGCTGAAAAGCGAATCCGCAAGCATCGTCTTCTGGGGACCCTGCACGACGGTGCTTCTGGACGAGAAGTCTCTTGACATTCACCCCGAACGGCTCGCGTCGAGCGTCGTCGTCGTCCTTCCCTCGAGACGCAAGGAAAAGAAGAAGAAGAAGAGGCTGCGAGTCCAGAACCTGTGCATCTCCGAGGACGTCGCGCAGGGGATTTTCGCTCATGCGGGCGCTTCTCCCACTCCGGGATCTGTATCGGTAACCCTCGCTGCGGTGGCCATGGAGGGCTCCAATTTGCCTCGCGGTGCCGAGGAGATATTTCTGTCGGATCGTGGTTCTCGACAGCACAACGAGGAAGAAGAGGTCGAGGCAGAGGATGGAGACGGGGACGGAGAACAGGACCAAGACAGCCCACCCTCACCAGCCGTGGTCTTTGACATCTGGGACCGCACGGTGCACTGCTTGGTCCTTTCTCGTCGTCCCGAGGGTGAAGAAGGAGATGGCCATTTCTACCGCGAGGGTGTCCTCTCAATGAACCTCGACGACTGGCTTGGGCTTGAAAAGGAGGTGAATCTGGTCGTCGTGGGCTGACACCTCCCCCCGTTTTTTAATAAGAGCGTAAATCGAATCCAATTCGGTGAGATCTCTCCGTTCATCATTCATTCAACTCTGTGCTCTATCCTCTGTCGCGGTTTGCTATAGAAACAAAACAAGAAGAAGAGGACGACGACGAACATATGGACGACAAGGAGACATGTATGGGGCATATAGCCAGACGGATATTCGTGTTCATATCTCAAGTTCAGCGAATGTCACTGTACACATAGACTTTTAGTGAACGTCCCTGACCTTGTATCTGTGCCATGTACAAGGAGCCCCCTATAAGTTTTTCCTTTTTTTTTGTTGATCTCCTGTAAACATCACTCTAGACTTTTGAACTCCTGGCACGCTTTCTAATATAGGACGCATGCATATTTTATACCCAAGTTTTGTCTCTGGTTGCCTTGTCCAGAGTTACCACTTCGACCCTCGAGTACATTGGCGTTGTCTCATCCGCCCTTCACTTACCACCTCAGATCTAGCATCGGAATGTAGTAAGAGTGGTCGGCGAGATATATTCTGCATGCTGAAACAGCCATCGGTAGTATATCCAGGGCTGGGGTCGAGGTCGTCCTCTCGATGTACATAGTTGGTATAGATGGCATCCAGGGCGGAAATTCCCTTTTGCTTGAGAGACTCATTCCCACGTTCAAGACGTAGGCTTCTGTCCCCATACGGTGTACCTTTTTGTAACATCAACATTAGCATTGGCATGATCCATTGATACTGGAGGGACGCTGGACGCTTTGACCGCGCGGCATTCGCCGAAACTCGCAAATGACACACTTACATGTCGTATATGCTGTGAATGGTCGGATTCCTAAAGTCGCTGCGGACCTGCATCAGCAGAACGTCCAGATCCTGTCGGCTCCAGCCGAGAAAGTCGCAGAAGAGTCGAACATTAAGGCCGGTGAGTCCCTCGTGCAGCTGGATGAAGTTGAGGAGCCCAATGCGTTTCTACAGGAAGGAAATAGGGACAAATATAAGTAAGCCCGAGTTCTGAACGACACGCAAATCCCGGAGAGACATGTCAAAGGTCAAAAGGATATGGGTGCTTGACTTACCAGTCGCTTGTCCCTGGGCCAGGTGCCGACTGGGACGGGAGTGCGAACAACCTACACGAGGCGCAGATTGAGTCAGCGATTGAAGGAGAAAGGGACGCCGCATGTGAGATAATAGGAATGGCTGACACCAACATTCACATTCACGAACCCGGCGTCCCTCATCCAGCCTTCAAGTCTCTTGCCAGGTCTCAATGAGCGGCCCAGATCCTCCATGCCTTGAGCGGCGATCTTGATCCAGCGCGAGAGGGCGTCGTTTTCGGTCAGAGTACCGTCTTGGCTGTAATAGTCGATGTCGAGATCAGCGAACTCGGCCCACGCTCCCGGTTTGAGGTTTCTTCACGACAAAAACAAAGGGTCAGAATAGTCCTTGGCGAGATCCAAAAGCCTCGAGGGGTCGCGGCGACCAGGCACTCACTCAAATGTCCGACGCATGAGCTGCGGCCAATTTCTGATGGCCCCTGCCATGTACCTGCAGTGGATGTAATCAAAGGGAGCTCGAAAGGTCCAGTCGTCCTCTACGTCTGCGATTTCGAATCTCGTGTTGGGTGGCACCCATTCAGGAGCTGAAGCACTGATGTCGACGCCGATGATCTCTGCCTGCGGATACGCGTCACCCATGGCGATGGCCCAAGTTCCTGTGCCAAAGCCAATGTCGAGAACCCTAAGCCCGCTGTCGCTGATAGGGGCTAGATGCAGCTCTCCTTTGTTGATGTGGAAGAACATTTCGTCCATGAGGTCAAGGCGGTTGAGCTCCTCCTGTCGCGATTTTGAGATATTCGGTTACGTCGAACTAGAGGCGGGATGGACTCACTTCGTCGTTTGGTCGATGATATGCTAAGATTACATGAATGGCTTTGCTCTACCTGGCCCTCTTTGCCAGGAAGTATACATACCTCCGTCTCTAAAGCCTTGATATTGCCTGCCATGGGAGTAGACAGGTCGAAGCAAGCTTGATCGCAATGAAAGAGTGGATATGTTGTCTCTTTTCCAGGAAATGGCAAGTCAAAACGCTATTTCTTGAGGACGTATGTGTGGCATTGGACCCTTACAAATCGCCGACAGCCTCATCTTCTTCAACAGCAATCAGAGGGTGGCCGTCTGCTTCATGGCCTGCTGGACCCTGTTGCTCTGCCATCATACAAAACCCTGGTGTGAGGTGCTGCCACAGTCGACAACCACTGGCCTCGCAAAGGTAGATCGAAATAAGCTGAGGGGAATCGGGAGAAGACGGCAGGATAGAAAGCCGTTTATGTACCATCTCTTGAACAACAACACCTCCATGCATGAGCCAAGGACCACCTCCCCTGCTTAAGCTTCCGTCAAGTATAGCCAAGGTTCAAGCCACGAAGCCGCCGGGGGCCGGGTAAACGAGGACATCGGAAGCATGAGCCTAAAGTTCATGCAGTCATCCAGCCCTTGAAGAAGAGGTGATAACCACGGTCTGAGAGGGGTGAGATCGGGCTGGTGGTTGATAATGTGAACTTGGCCATGAACCATTTAGTTCGCGACTTTGCTGTGGACCGCAGCTGCGCAGATGTTGGGCTTGTTTTGTGCAGATCCAAGCCTGCGCCGCGCAGTTTCCCCGAGAGCTACTCGGTACTGTCAGATGGTGTCGAGAGAAGGACGAAATCGGTATTGGTCCGGCCATGTCGCGATGCCTAGCGATTGGTAAGACTTGCAGGGGTGATTCAAAAGTACCCGGTTGACATTCTGCAGCTAGAGAGGTCGGGGTGGCAGTGCCCTTGTTCAGTTCCACCCCAGCACTCAAGCTCGCGAGACTCGTTCATCACAGTTAATGTCACTCGGTTAAGTTAGCCACGTCACACTCTGCAAGCGCTGATTGAAGAACGGTGGTAAAATGCTCGGACAGTCCCCCTCCAATTCGAGCTTTGCGCCTTGTGAAGGCTCGAACCGTCCGTCTCCGCAATCCCACAGAACCTATGACTGACAAGAGGAATCTCGAGATTGTGATCGTTGGGGCTGGTGCGACGGGGTTGTTGATCGCACAAGGATTGACACTGGTATGTGCTGATGACTGTTGGGGGCGAGGGTCTCATGCCAGGCTAACAGCCAACTCAACACCCAGAATGGCATTAAAGCCACCGTCTACGAACGAGAGGAAGAGTCTACATATCACATCCGGCCTCGAGAATGGGGAATGACCTTGCACTTTGGCCAAGAGTACCTGGCCAAATGCATCCCATCGGAACTCATGGCTCGTCTCGGTGAAGCATGCTGCGACACGTTCTACACGGGCAAGCACACGTCCTGGCCCATGTTCAACGGCCAGACAGGCGAGAAGTTCTTCGACATGCAGGGCTTCAATCCTCTGCGTGTGTCTCGTCGCAAGCTCCGTGCCCTCCTGAGCGACGGTCTAGACGTGCGATATGGCTGCAAGATCGTGTCGGTATCCCAGGCAAATGGGTCCGCAACTGCCACCTTCGCCGACGGCAGTACCGCCACCGGTGACCTAATCGTCGGTTGCGAAGGTGTGCACTCCTACATCCGCGAGGCGCTTGTTGGTCGAGACAAAGCCGCCAACTCTCCCATCGACGTACAGATGTTCAACGCCTGCTGGTCCCTCCCAGCCGACGCTGCCCTCCTGCAACGCAAAGCCCACCCGATATTCCGCATTGGCTACCACCCGACAGGCATGAGCTGGGTGACGGCAATCCAGGACGTAAAAGATCCCGATGATCCATCCACGTTCCTCTTCCAGCAATGTCTCTCCTGGCCCGGCCGACCACACGCCGAAGATTTCCCCGACCAGCAATCCAAAATCGACTTCATCAAGTCCAAGGCCGAGATCTACGCCGAACCCTGGAAAAGCGCTGGCCGCAACGTCCCGCCCGACCTGCCGCTGCAAGTCGACGCCATCACGATGTGGAGGCCAGATATGGACTGGTCGTCCAGTCCGCTGTGGCCGCACGTCACGCTGGCCGGGGACGCCGCGCACAATATGCCTCCGTTCCGCGGTCAGGGGCTGAACAACGCATTCCAAGACGCCGAGAAGCTCGTGTCGGAACTGAGTGAGGTGGCAAAAGGAGACAAGACGCTCGAGCAGGCCGTGAGCGCGTATGAGGAAGAGATGAAGGCACGCAGCCTGAAGGAGATTGAGGTCAGCTTGATGCAGACCCGCATGGTGCATAACTGGGATACACTCATGAGCGCCCCCATGTTCAAGGCCGGCATGAACGCGTACAGGGACGAAGTCAAGGGCAATTTGGAGACGGCAAGTGGCGGCGAGGTGAATGGTGCGAAATAATTACATGACACTATAAATGATGGGTTGTGGAAAGCCTCTTGATACACCTACTAGTGATATTATCGGAGCGGTATAGCAAGCGTCAGCCAGAATAAATATTTTTTTTTTAGAATCGATGACCAATACGCCATTTCTTACTTGTGGGACGCAGCGTCTCCATCCGCTTTGGGAGAAGAACCATGCCACTCGAGCAACAGAGAGCAAAAAAAAGTATCTCAAGTCTCGGCGATGCGAAAATCCGCGAGAAACGCCCAAAACATCTTCTCGCGCCACCCTCTTTGCTTCCAGTCGTTGGCCGTGGCGGGGAATAAGTCAACGACGCCCCTCGCGGTCGTGTCGTGCGCGTAGATGAAGAGCACGTTGTCGTCGCCGTCGGCCTTTTGGGCCCGCACGATCGTCTCGATCGCCTGGGGGATGGAGAGGCCCATGGCCGGGTCGAAGAAGGGCTGTGTCGGCGACCTGCCCCGCGTGCGCTGGACGGCCTCGAATACGGCGCCTGGACAGGGCGAGTGCAGCGCCCTCGTGGTCACGGCGTGCGGGTGGACATGCGCCGGGAGCGGCATGTACGTGGACGGTCTGATCTCGCCGCCGTGGTGGCACAGGTCGCCGCCCATGAAGATGAAGGTGTCCGGCTCCGAAGTCGTGCGCGCCAGCCCGCACACATGGCCGACGGCATGGCCGGGTGTGTCGAGGAGGTAGAAGGATCCGTCGCCGAAGAAGTCTTGGGCGCGGAACTCGCCGATCTGTAGCGTGCCGGGCTCGGTGAATGTCACTTCGCGTAGCTCCCGTCCCCTGTTTCGTGTTAGGAGGGATTAGGTTAGACGTGGTCAGTGAACGCCAGCTTATCGGGCATGCTCATAGTGGTTCTCAAAATTGAGATTGTCCACACAGAGCGGACAGATCGCCCTCCTCATCTTTTCGCCTTGTCAGGTTGAGTTGGACTTACTTGAAATCAGACTCCCGCACGGGAGAATCGGCCTTCCCTGGATATCCAGGCATAAAAGCCTCCTTGAATCCCGGACCTACCACCACCTCGGTCGAAGGTGGGAACGTGGACGGATCGCCCAGGTGATCCCAGTGCCAGTGACTGCATGTCCCCATTAAAGAGAAATCAACCATGTCTTCACAAAAACAAAACATCCAGATGGGAAGACACACACAACCATCCACACGCCCTCCTATGTCGACATACGCTCTCACAGTCGTGACAACGAAGGGAAAAGCCTACTCACCTCCAGACGATACTGCCGACACTCTTCGGGTCGACCGCATTCTCCTCCAGGATCTGACTCGTGTGCTTCTGGGCAGAGATCTCCCACCCTCTAGTCTTGAGCGTCTCGCTCACGGCGGGCGCAAAGTTCTCCCAGTCGGGCGGCACGCCGAGGTCAAAGAGCGCCTTCTTGCCCATCGTGCGGGATTCGACCAGAAACGACCACGACGGCAGGTCCGGCATGGTCTCGAAGCCTGGCATGGGTGGTGCCATCAGGTAAGACACGGCGAGCCGCCCGATGCGCGAGGTGGTGTCGATGATCGAAACCGTGGCGGTTGCGCCTGGCGGCACGGGGAAAAGTCTCTTCGAGGGAGACGTGGAGGCGGCCATATTGGTTGGACTATTTTCTTATTGATGGTATCTCGAAAGCGTCGGCGACGTATGAGAGTCAGCTGATGCGAGAGTCTACCATTCGGGGTATCTATCTGAGAGGAAAAGAGGTAGAAGAATACCCGAGTACATGTAGAGAGCGGGTGACAACAAGTATCCAAATGATGCGGGGAGAAAGCTGGAGACAGAAGCGGGGAATCGACTCCCTTATTCACACAGCCTCGTCACGTAATACGCGATATGGGGGATCAATCAGCCTTGCAGTGCCGCGCTCCATTGCCAAGTTATCACGAGGATGGCTTTAGAGACAATTCTTTCTCTAGGCCAATCAAGCCTCCAGTCCGTCTAGAGCCTGTCGCAAAGCTTGTCTAGCTTCTGCCCTCGACCTCTCGAGGATTTCTCGTGCAGGATCAACCGCACTAACCAGCCCCACGGCACTTCCTACATACGCCGTCATTCTCCCGTCTTCCCCCCACCCAATCGACCCGTTCTTAATTTGTTCTTGGAATATCTGCTTGTTCTGCCCCAAATCCATTCCTGCTAGGTCATCTTTGACGCTTCGATTGATGATCGCACGACCGTCGTATTGAGTCGGCCAATCATCCCTCCCCTGGAGTCGATCGAATAAATCGGTGCGGATGGTGCTTTGGCCGCCGTCGGAGACTCGCAGCACATCATCTTGGTATCCCTTCTTGATTTCAGCCTCGCGGCTGGCGAGGAAACGGGTCCCCATCACCGCACCCGCGGCAACACCCGTGGCGAGGACAGCAGCAACCCCGCGGCCGTCCGCGATTCCACCAGCACCGACGAGCGGGATTTCAGATCCCAGTGCCTGAAGCGCGTCCGCTACTTCTGGAAGCAAGGATA